ACATACAGGCTCTTTTGTTCAAACTGACTTTTGCTGTCTCCACTTCTTACAGCTCTAATTTTCACAGATTCAGTAATTTTCAGTGGGTCCATACTCATGCACACACATACATGCTTTAAAAAACATGGAATATGCCTTCTTTTAAATGTAATCATGTGCTGGCTCTGTCCAAGTGCATTCATTGCAGCATTCTATGTAAAAGCAAGAGATTATAACCCACTAACATGTTCAACAGCAAGGAACTGAATAACTAGTTCCTCTATGCAATGAATTACTATGCATGAGGTAGGGCTATATAATATGGAACAATCTCCAAACTAGACTACAAAGTATAAAGCTGCAAGACAGAGTGTTTCAAAGGAAAAAGACAGCCCTTGCCACTGGCTCGGTTGGTTGGAGCATCATCCTGAGGCTCCAGGGTTGCTGGTTTGATCTCTGGTAGGAGCACATACAAGCATTAACCAACTGATGCTTCTTTCTCTCGCTCTCTCTCAAATCAATAAATTATAAAAAACTTAAAAATAGAAGGACAAAGATAAGTGTGCATGTGTGTGTGTGTGAAAAATAATCACACATGTAAGCTTGCACATGAGTGAAACGTTTATGGAATGATTCCTAAGAAATAGTAAACATTAGTTGCCTCCAGGGTGGAACACAGGCTCATTTTCCATTATGTGCCCTGTCGTGTGGGTGGAATTTTTTTACCGTGTGTTTTCAGATTTTTCAATTAAAAAACCAGTCAACTAAAAACAAACCATAGTCACCCTGGATTGAGGAATTGTCCCACAACACAAAAGGTTGCGGGTTCAATTCCCAGTCAGGGTACATGCCTGGGTGGCCAGTCAGGTCCCCCCAGCTGGGGCCTGGAAGAGCCAACACAAAGGATAGATGTTTCTCTCCCTCTCTTTCTCCCTTCCTTTCTCTCGAAATAAATAAATGAAATCTTTAAAAAAAAAAACCATAGTCAATAACATTGTTATAACTATATATAATGTCGGATGGATACTGGATATATCAGGGTGATCGCTTCATAAATTACATAAGTGTCTAACCACCATGTTATACACCTGAAACTAATATAATGGAGTATGTCAACTGTAATTGAAAAATTTAAAAGTACATATATTTACTGTGCCCTTACTAAGTGCTTCTGGGCAATGGAGACACAGTAGCAGTGAATATAGGAAGCAGGGCATGTCCTCATGGAGCTGATGATCTAGAGAGAGGGCCTAACTGAAGTAAACACACAAAATGGAAATATGGCCCTAGCTGGTGTAGCTCAGTGGATTGAGCTCGGGCTGCAGACCAAAGGGGTCCCGGGTTTGATTCCCAGTCAGGGCACATGCCTGGGTTGCAGGCCAGTTCCCAGTGGGGGCCACATGAGGCAACCATACATTGATGTTTCTCTCCCTCTCTTTCTCCCTCCCTTCCCTATTCTCTAAAAATAAAAGAAATAAAACCTTTAAAAATATATGATAACAAGCCCCGATAAGTGATATCAGGAGAAAATGGGGTGCTATGGGAAGGAATAATACAGCCCTTCTCAGAGAGGGTGGTCAGGAGAGGACTTTCTGGGGACAGAAGGAAAAGTAGAAATTCACAGAAGGGTGGAGGGGTGCAAGGCTGTTTCCTGGTCCCTGAAGAAATGGGAGCAGTAGGTGGGGCCAGGCAGCAGAGCCTTTTGAAGCGCTGCAGGGTTTTGGGGGAGGTGTCAATCTGGTTTACGTTTTGGCAGATCTCCCTGGTTGCCTTGCAGGAACCGGGTTAACAGGAGCAAGAATGCAAGTGGGAAAACCAGTTGGGAGGGTTTTGCAGAAGGACAGCAAAGATGATATTTGTTGGCCTAAACTGGTGGAGGAGGAATCTATAGATTAAAAGAGTCTCAAAAGAGTATCAATCGACTGCAATGTGTGGACCTTATTTGAATTCTGATGTTTTTAATTTTAGCAACAACAACAAAAATCATGACAATTGGAAATTTGAACACAGGTTATTTGATATTAAAGAATTATTGTTATTCTTAAAGAGTTATTTATTTTATTTTAGAGAGAGAGGAAAGGAAGGAGAAAGAGAGGGAAAGAAACATCAATATGTGGTTGCCTCTTGTGCGCCCCAGACTGGGGACCTGGCCTACAACCCAGGCATGTGCCCTGACTGGGAATTGAACCAGTGACCCTTTGGTTTGCAGGCCTGTGCTCAATCCACTGAGCTACACCAGCCAGGACAAGGAATTGTTTTCTTAAATGTTAAGTGTTTCATTAGATTTCTCACCACCCCCACTTCAGAACTAAAGAGTTGGAAATTGTCTAAATTAAGATAATTTTCAGCTGATATATTAATGAATGATATATATCCATGATTTTGTTGTTTCTCACTATAGTATTTCCTACACATATATTTATATCTATATTTTCATAGTTGAGATCATACTTTAAATTCAGTTGGTATAGGAGCAGTACTTTCGAAAGCGGAAGGTGACATCCAGTGTCCAGGAGCCCTGGGGCAGCAGTGCCTCCACACCAAGGCAGAACACTTTTGAGAGTAAAATGCAACAAGAGCTGTAAACCTGGACTGCCCTAGAGAGGTGAGGTTGCTTGCCTTGATTCTTTGGTTGCTTTATTAATATTTTTATTGAATTTATTTGGGTGATACTAGTTAAGTACCTAGTTAATGAAATTATATAGGTTTCAGGTGTACAGTTCTATAATACATTATCTGTATATCATATTGCATTGTGGCCGCGTTAATTTTTCAGAAATTGCATCTTGACACAAAGTAACAAAGACATACTTGGGAAATCACACTTGGGAGTAAGCTAAGCTCTTGCTGTCTCTAGGAATCACTCCGTTATCTTGTCTTCCACAAAGTCTTGACTCCCCTTGTCTGCCCCTGAGTTGGATGGCTCTCGCTGTGGCTCTGGGACAGTGCTTCTTAATGCTGGGGGGGTGGGGCAAGGCTGGAATTTTGCTCCTCTCCATTCTCACCCCCAACCACCAAGGACAATGGGCAATGTCTGGAGAAACCTTTGGTTGATAGAACTGGATCCGGGGAAGAATCTAGTGGGTAGTACTACTCAACATCCAACAATACACAGGACAACCTCCCCACTCCCCGAACAAAGAATTATCGGGCCCAAAAAATCAGCAGTGCCGAGGCTGAGAAAACTTGCATAGCACTTCATAAAGACAACTGTAAATGCCAACTAGTTGGCCTTCTCAGCTAGACAGCCAGCACTGTGAAGACAGGTGATGTGGGAATGTTGGTGAGTAATTGACAATGAGGACTGAAGGAAGATGGGAAGGTACATCTAGATTCAGACTTAGGGACCTGCAAGATCATGCTGCATGCTTTCTTGAACCATTTCCCATCTCCCTTTGGGTACTATAATGAGTCCGTTGATGAGCATTTCATTCTTCAATATCTAACAAATACTTATTAAGCACTTATTATATATTAGTAGTATTCTAACATGGCACCAGAAATCTCCAATTTGGGTTGTGGTGAAAGAGCTGACTTTGTTCAGTGCAAACAGCAGGACAGCATGGCTGTGGAACGGCTGGACAGTGTTACAGCTCAATTAGAAACAGCACAACAGCGTTGCAGCTCTGCTCTGGTCTGCTCTGGTTTATGGTGTTTCAGCTCCAGTCCTGCTGACTTATATAGAGAGGTCCCTGCCCCTTGTTCCTGATGGGTGGTTCATTCTCTTATGCAAATGAGAATTCCAAATCCCCACAGTTCCATTGGTCCAAAAAAAACTGCCTCGATTTATCGGAATGGAGCCACTTTGATGAGTCAGTGGAGCAGACTCATCAAAGTCTGTCCAACTGGGCAGCTCCAACTGGACAGGAAAAAATACTATTGGTAGTAATACAATTCCAGGAACTTCTTTATAAAGGTAGGCTCACCAGTAGAAACACCATGAAGGCCGGCAGCTCAGTGTGGATGTCACACAGTTTACTGCTGGCTGCTCCCTCAAGAGTGGCTTTTGTTGAGAGGCCCTTGTTTAGAAACATCTGCTAGGCTCTGGTTTTTCTTGTGGATGTGTGTGTTTAATACCTGAGCCCAATTAGCCAACAGGAGCCCTTCTTGGTCAGGATCCCTTCTTGGTAGGTAGTTTCTTTCTTGGGAGTTGACACTAGATACTAGGTATATAGCAACGAACAAGCCATTGTCGAACTTTAATCAAATGAAGTTTATTTGTTAGAGAGAGGGAAAGGGAGGGAGAAAGAGAAAGAGAGATCATGTGTGAGAGAAACATCAACCAGCTGCCTCTTGCAGGCCCCCAACTGGGGACCTGGCCCTACACAGACATGTGCCCCAACCTGAAATTGAACCACCGACCCTTCAGTTGGCAGGACGGCGCTTAATCCACTGAGCCACACCACCCAGGACTGAAGTTTATTCTTACAGAGGAAGGCAAACAACAAGCAAGGAAACAAGATAATTTCAGCGATAAATATTATGAAAAAAACATAGAATGATGGGTCTGGATGACATATTCTCGGTAGGGTGAGCAGATGACTGTTGCACTGATGAGTGAACCAGGCATGGAAAGCGTCAGGCCTGGGGGAAGGGTGATACAGGGGGAGGCAATCATAATTGCACAGGCCCTGAGTTGGAAACAGTGGCTGGCCATTCAATGCAGACCAAGGTGTGGACCTGATCACTTATGCCGTGAAAAGGTTTGGATTTTATTCTGCAATCGGAAGGCTGATTTATGTTGTTAAAATATCACTGCAGTTTTGGGGGGAGGATGTATGAAATATCTACTATATTTAGAGTTTAAAATACTTGTCATAAAAAGCTTAAGTCCCATTTCTCAGCTACCTCTTGTGAAAGTGGAAACTTCCCATATCCAGAAGAGGACGCTCTAGGCAGCGGCTCGACAGAATGTAGTGCTGGGCACTCTTTGGTTCTTTTAGAGAAATCTAAATCCCGGCTTCCGGGAGTGGCCGCGTTCCCCAGCGCCGTCCTCTCTATCCGCCCGTATCTATGGTCGTCGGGGCCCCGCCCCTCCCCGGGCGGCAGCGAGCCGCTTGGACTCTGCTGGACTTGATCTCGGGGCAGTGGGGTTAGGGGTTGGCTGGAATCTGGGTCATGGCAGTCCCGGAGCCGGCACCGGGAGCTGCCGGCAGGTAAGCAGGGCAGCTGGGGAGGAAGGGCGGCCCTCAGGGCGTCCTACTCGGGGCTCTGCGGGAAAGCGGCTCTATTCCATTCCGCCCGCGTCTGCGGCGCTTGAAGAGCCGCGGTCCCCGCGAAAGTCGAGCTCGCGAAGGGGCGCCCACGCTCCTTCCGATTCGAAGTCGCCCTCCAGCTTCGCGGGAACTCTTGCCATCTCCTGCACCCTGGATCTGGGATCCTCTCCCTCAGAACTAGCCCTTTCTTTACTTCCCGGCTCCCTGTCTTTCCTTGAAGTGCACGGAACTGAGTTGCTCATCCCTCTCGGTTCTTGGCACACTGTGGCCCGTGGCTCTTCCCATGTTTTATCATCTTTTGCCCTTCTGCCCTTCGTCCCTTCTTTTCAAGCTGCTGTCACTCCACTTCTCAGACATACGCTCTGGTGTATTAAAGGAGTGTCTTTACAGCCCACCTTACATACATTTGCGTATATGTTACCATGGCAAATACTGGTTTTGAATTCATATGAATGATAATATGCTGTGACTTTTAAAGAAACTTTTAAAAGTTTGAGTATTGTGTTTTTGAGATCGTAAATGCTATAGTAATATAGTTTTCACCTCTGAGTGCTACATGATGCCACACCGAATGCATTAGATCTTATTTTACTTAACACATTCCGCTAGCGATGGGTGCTTAGATTGCTTCCAATTCTTAACCACCACAAACCGTACTGGCACTTGTCTCCATGTAGGTAGGGGTGATTTTTCTCTGGATTAGCCACCCCAAGGTAGGGTAGGATGCTAGGTCATACCTATTCTGCTAGATCGTTCTCTGGAAAGGTCACACCAGGTTATACTCCCGAGGGCATGGAGTAAAGATTCCTCTTTCCCCTTATCTAACCCCCACCTCTGGTGCTGACTGCCCAACTTTTGTGGTTTTCTGATATTTATTGCATGTAAGGTGGTATGGTATCCGGCTGTATTGATTTCCATGTATTAAGCATTTGGACTTCCTGTTTTCTCAATTGCCTGTATACTTTTCTATGGATTTCCTGTTTTCCAGACTTGTAGGAATTCCTTCTGTGCTCTGGATTTTTTATTCCTTGTTGGTTTTACACTGCAAATAGCTTCTCTAGTTGTTTTTTTTTTTTTTTTTTACTATTTTATTTATTTATTTATTTGAGAGAAGAGAAGGGAAGGAAGAAGAGAGGGAGAGAAACATCAATGTGTGGTTGCCTTTCACGCGCCCCCTACTGGGGACCTGGCTCACAACCCAGGCATGTGCCCTGGGCAGGGAATTGAACCAGCACCCTTTGGTTCACAGGCTGGCACTCAGTCCATTGAGCCACACCAGCCAGGGCTACCTTTTCTAATTTTTAATTTAACCTATGACATTTTATTGAACAAAAATGTTTACTTCTAAATTAAATGCATTAGTTTTCCCATTTATAGTTCGTGATTTTGAGGTCTTCTTTAAGAATTGCCTTCCCACTATATCTGCATTAAGATATTCTTCAACATTTGCTTTTATTACTAAATACTAGTGTTACTTTCCCCACGTAGATTTTTAATTCATTTGGAGTTTCTAAAGTTTATTTTTGTAAATGACTTGAAGTAAATGTAAAACAGGTACAGAACAGTGCTGAGCATATAGTACATTTTAATAAATGTTGACAACTTTACTGTTACTATGTTCTTTCTTGTGATGCAACCTCTGTTATGTGCCCGTGTGAGCATAGGGCTATTTTTGTTTGGTTGGGTTTTTTTTTTTTTTTTGGTGTCTCCGTTCCATTGCTTTCTTTGTTCCCCTATTAATACCACACTTCGTGTCTACTCCAGCCCTGTAGTGCGATGTCTTAATAACGAGGACTTGGGTCTTTTCCTGCTGCTTTCCTGTTCTACACAATTGTCCTAAGTTGTTCATGGACCTTTATTTCCATACAGAGATCCTCAGAGAAGTCTGGCTTTGGGTTGGTATGTTGAATTTATAGGCTACTTTTGTTAGAAATGAGGTCTTTATAACTTAAGTCCTGCCAACTCTATTTAAGTCTTCTTTCACATCCTATAACAGAGTCCTTCATTTTTCCTCCAAAACATTTTACATATTCTTTTTTAAAGAAAATTCCTGAACAACAATAAAATAATTTAAATTTTTTTAAAAAGAAAGAAAATTCCTGGATAGTTTATGGTTTTTCTATACTTTTGTAAATGATATTTTCTTTATGTTTCCTAGTTGGTGATTGTTGGCACAGAACACTATTGATATTTGTATGTTAACTCTATATCTGCCTTAATTTCTTTAATTTCCAGCATTTTGTCTTATTTGCTGTGTTTCCTTTGTGAATGATCACATCATCTGCGAGTAATGACAGTTTAGTCTCTTCCCTTTCAATCCTTTTACCTCATTTCTTTTGCTTGCTTTATTCCTTAATTTTTTTAAAATATTTTTTAAATTTATTCTTAGAGAGAGGGGACGGGAAGGAGAAAGAGTGGGAGAGAAACATCAATGTGTGGTTGTCTCTCATGTGTCCTCTACCGGGGACCTGGCCTGCAACCCAGGCGTGTGCCCTGACTGGGAATCGAACCAGCAGCCTTTTTCTTCACGGGTCCGTGCTTCATCCACTGAGCTACACCAGTCTGGGCTGCTTTATTCCTTTAGCCAGGACCTTAAAATCCTTGATGAATTGGGCTTCCTTGTCTTGTTTGTGACCATAAAGAGGATGCGGCTAAAGTTTTTTCATTAACTATGTTTTTTACTGTAGATTTTTGGTGAATAACCTTTTATAGCATCATTCAAGTTAAAGAGATTTCTTTCTATCCCTGGTCTGTTTCTAGCCCAGCATCTGCATGGCCCAAACAGCCTCCCCCTTCCCCACACCCTCCTCCCCGCTGCCAGAATAATGTAGCTAAGCTTGGTAACTGCCCTCCAAGGCTCAGCTGCCCCCTTAGGCTTCTCTCTGCTTCTCCTTCTCTCCGTCAGGCCCAGGTTAGACCTGCAATTCCTCCAGCGGTTCCTGCAGATACAAAGGATTTTGTTCCCCTCTTGCTCCTCACAGAATGCTGTGATGTTCCTGACCCTGCTGGGTGTGGCCCTGCTGGGTAAGTGAGTGAGCCCAGGCTAGACGGGGCAGGCAGCCCAGTTTCCAGATCCCTTCCCTTCTCTCTAGGGTGTTGCTAAGGCAAGGACTCAAGAGGAAGCCTCTCTGCTTCTTTTTGCCCCCCAGCACTGATTTCTGACTCTTCTCTCCTTCCCCCCAGAACAACTGGTGATCTACCAGGTTGGCCTGATCCCCAGTCAGTACTACAGGGTCCTGGGAAACAAGGACTTGGGTGGGTTTAAGGCCCTGACGTTCCTGGCCATCGTGCTCATCGTGACCAACTCCATGGTAAGGTCCTCTGCCTGTGCCTGTCCTGCTTTTGCGCCCGTCCTGAGCGGACTGCTCAGTGGAGCTTGGCCACTGGGAGGCTGGGATTGAGCTGTGGGTGTGCGTCTCCTCCCTTTTCTAGGAACTTGAGGTCAGAACCCTACTTAGGGCATTGACCTTGCTGTTGGCCCACACGGACCAGTTCCTTGACTGTTTCAGGCTTCCAGGCCTAGGCCACGAGTTCTGGTTTAATTCAGCGTTTAGTGAAAATGAGCATTGTTCTTTTCATTCCCACAACTCTTGCTTCCGGAAGCTCCGAGCCCTTGAAAACCTGGGATCGGCAGCCAGAGCTGCTCTCCCTGTGTGGGACCGAGGCTGTGACTCAGCGGGCACCTTGTCCTATCCCCTAGCTTTTGCACCTGCAGTTTTCTTGCGGAATGGCCTCCTTCCCCGACCCGTCATCCACTTGGTTAATGCCGGCCCCCTTTTCAGGGTTGCTCTGTTGTCACCTTCAAGTCCTCCTCAACTTTCTCCCCCATGTTTCCTCCACTGAGCTCTGTCCTTTTCTCGGGATACTTAGGGCTTTGAGTTTACCTCTGCCGCCACACTGTACACTGTTGCAATTGTCTGTAGCCTGGCTAGACTGAGCTCTTTGCTGTTTCCCTCGAGCTTAGCACACGGGTGCTCCATAACTGGGGGCTGATGAGCACCAGGGCCCTGCTAGGGTTCCGCAGGCTGCACCAGTTGTTGTCATGGTACTTAGAGATGTCTTCTCACACGCTGGCCCTTTGACTGATCTCTGATCAGTAAGTACCTATGTATGTAGAACCTTGTTCTGTGTTTTGGGACAGAAAAGTAAGAATGTAAATAGAATGGAAAATACTGCCCCCCATCTCCAGAAGCTCATCTGCTCTCAGATTAAGACAGTGGAATGTTAGAAAGGGACTAGATACTGAAGGACTTTGGTAAGCCTTTCAGTGTCTGGTGAAGGAATGAACTCGTGAGTGAGGAAGGCACCAGCCCCATGACAGTCGTTTAAACAAGCAGAAGGGCCGAGTGGGCGGAGTGCTCGGAGCAGGCTGGGCCCGGACAGCAGATGCTTCCTGCTAGCTCTGGGCTTTGAGCTGAGTCTCGCAGGAAGTCACTTTCCCTTCCTCTTGCCTCCCCCACTGCACAGCTGAAGAGCTTTGACCAGTTCACCTGCAACCTGTTGTATGTAAGCTGGCGGAAGGACCTCACCGAGCACCTGCATCGCCTCTACTTCCGCGGCCGCGTGTACTACACCCTGAACGTGCTGCGGGATGACGTCGATAACCCGTAGGCCTCCCCTTGCAGCCCTCACCACCTGCTGCACGGTGCTAGCTGTCTGGGTCAGCCCTGGAGGGTTTCTGGGGCAGATCGCCTGGAGATTATCTGCAGTTATCTGCAGGTGGGGAAAGGTGTCTGCAGAGGAGGCCTGGAGAGGCTGCAGGGCTGAGAACAGGGACCTAAGAGTAGGAGCAGCCCCCTTGTGGTCAGTTCCTATCCTGTCTTCCAAACCAGGCCCCTTTGAAGGGAGTTTCCTTTCTAGAAAAAGCTGAAAAACCAGCTCCCAGAGTCTCAGTAGTAAAATATTGTTGTGTAGGACTCGGTCTAGGATTTAAATCTTAAAACTGGCACCTCCAAGTTTATAGGCCCTAAGTTCGCTAAGCCCCGGGTTCACTTTCTGTAAAATGAGGACAATAATAGTTCCTATCTCAAAGAATTTAGTGAGGATGAAATAATATTCATGCAATGCTCATAGACAGTACCTCGCACATAGCGAGCATTCTGATGTTAGTTAGCCATTGCGATTTTACAGGCGAGGAAACCGAGGCCCAGAGGATGCAAGTGACGTGCCCAAGGTCACGTCTCTCATTGGAAACAGAGTCAGTGTGGCCCTGATGGTGCGATAGAACATATGGGGTCTGTCCCCGTACTCATTCCCTCTCCACCCTCCCAAGCAGTCTGTTGCCTGAGGTGACCTTCCCTCAGCTCAAGCTGAGTTTTGCAGCAAGATTTTGTGGAGGCTGCTACCGCTGCCCACTCCCTCTCCTGGGCCTCTTTATGGCTCAACCTGTGCAAACTTCCACAGCCAGTCCCCATAAAATGGGGATAGGCTTGCGAGAGAGGGGGAGGTGAGATCAGTGGCATCGTGGGGTGGCTTCCCAGATCGGTCAGCAGCTCCGCTTGCCTACCCTCAGAACTGGATCAGGACTCCTGGGTGCTGAACCTTTCGGTTGTCACTTTTTCTGAGTGGTAAACCGAAGCACCATAAGAAGCAGCTCGCCAGAACCCTGCTTTGAGGTCCCAAGGGCCTCACTGCCTCTGAGAAACCAGCCCTTGGCTGGGTCCTTCTTCCTCCAAGGTCTCTGAAAGGCAAGGTCATGTGGAACTGCCTTACCCTGGGCCTGGCTCCCTGGGTCCAGTTAGTTTGTGCCGTTGGTTCCAGGGACCAGCGCATCAGCCAGGACGTGGAGCGGTTCTGCCGGCAGCTCAGCAGCATGGCCAGGCAGCTGATCGTCTCCCCCTTCACCCTCGTCTACTACACCTACCAGTGCTTCCAAAGGTGAGGCCTCTCTTCCCAGAGCCCCTCCTCTCCCACCAGGGGTGTCCCCAAATGTCCTTCACTCACACGGACTGTCCCAGGTCAGAGTCCAGAAGAGGCCAGTCCCCTTTTCCTCCCGCCAGTCTCGTCATCCTGTGTGCTTAGGCCCCTGTGCTCCCGTCGGCCCCACAGTGTTTCAGTGTCACAGGGACCTGGCGCTCTGACGGCCACCACGCAGGAGCCGAGGCCTCAGGTCGCTGCTGAGATTGAGCAGGGGCTTCCCGAAGGGGGGCGGGAGTTGGGGGCCGAGGCCTGCGTGGAGATGTGGTACCTCCCACCATCCCTCCCTCTGTCTTTCAGCACAGGCTGGCTGGGGCCTGTAAGCATCTTTGGGTATTTCATCCTGGGAACCGTGGTGAACAAAATGTTGATGGGGCCCATCGTGGCAAAGCTGGTGCAGCAGGAAAAGCTGGAGGGGGATTTCAGGTGAGTCTGCCGCGTTTGAGATTTCTAGGCTGGGCTAATGGCTAGGAGCGGGTCTGGAGTAAGGCCACGTAAGTTCAGATCCCACCTATGCCAGTTATTGGCCATGTGCTCTTGGCTGGGGTCTTTAACCTGCCTGAACTTGGTTTCCTGTCCTAAAATAGGGACGGTACTGTTGCCTCCAAGAGAATTGTGAGAATCGATGGGATTATACGGGAGAAGCCCTGAGAACAGTGTCTGTTTGGCCATCATGGTGCCATCTCCTGGCCTTCTCAGGTGCTTCATGCCCTATTGAGTTTAGAGGGGGAGGGAGGGGGGGGGAAGAGAGAGAAACATCCAGTGGTTGCCTCTCACACGATCCCGGCTGGGATCGAAACCGCAGCCCAGGCCTGTGCCCTGACCAGGAATCAAACTGGTGGCCTTTTGGCACTGAGCCACCCTGGCCGTGGTGCGTGCTTCTGTTTTAAGCACCGTTTCGAATCAGCTGAAGGATCCCTCTCCTTCCCTGTGCCTCGTGGTCTCCGTCAGGCCCAGCCCTGGGAGGAGAACGTGCTGTGAGCACCGTCCTCTCTGGAGGCCCAGGCCTGGGACTCCCCCCAACCGCCCCTCGTGACATTCCACAGAAGGGTAGGTCTGAGGCAGCTGAAGTTTCAAGGTGGAGCTGGACTCGCCCTTATCTGGAGGTCTTTTTTAACTTTTTTTTAAAGACTTAATTTGTTTATCTTTAGAGAGAAGGAAGGGAGGGAGAAGGAGAGGGAGAGAAACATGAATATGTGGTTGCCTCTAACGTGGCCCCCCACTGAGGACCTGGCCTGCAACCCAAGCATGTGCCCTGACTGAGAATCTAAAACCGGTGACCCCTTGGTTCTCAGCCCATGCTCAATACACTGAACTACACCAGCCAGGGCTTTACTTTTTAATTGGTTGATTGATTGCTTTTGGAGAAAGAGAAACATCTATTTGTTGTTCCACTTATTTATGCATCCACTGGTTGACTCTTGTACGTGTCCTGATTGAGCATCAAACTCCCAACGTTGGCATGTCAGGATGACACTCTAACCAGCTGAGCTCCCTGGCCAGAGCTTGGAGGCCTTGAACCCGGCCTCCAGGAGGGGGGTCGGCACTGCCCGTTGTCAGCACACCTTTTCCTTTGGTCTGTCCAGGTTCAAGCACATGCAGATCCGTGTGAATGCTGAGCCTGCTGCTTTTTACAGGTGAGTCAGGGGAAATAGTCCCCCTCTGCCTCATGGGAGCTACTGGTGGAGATGGCAGAGAGGGAAAGCTGCGGGGTACCACCCTCTCACCGTCTCCGAGATCAGAGGCCGGGCGTCCTTACGCTGGGCTGCGACCCTCCCCGTATCTCTCACCATCCTTGTTTGCCTCATTCTTGGGTCCAGGAACTTGTTTCTGGAGGTAGGGGTTCCTCTTAGTAGCCCAGCATAGGGCCTAAATTGGCCCCAAGAATGAAACGAGTGAATGCTTTGTCGCCTTGCTGAGGACTGTAAGGCACAGCCTGTGCCTCTGTTTTCCGTAAAATGGCTTTCTGCCAGCGCCTGATGTCCAAGGCTGCCCCTTCATCTCTGTTGCATAGGAGGGAACGAGCGCCTCCTACATGGGGTCGGGAGCCCTGCTCCTCACAAGCACTGTGCTTGGTCCCCTGACAGCAGCGCTGTGAAGTCCCCTTCCTTCCCCTGGGGCTGGGCAGCCTTCTGCTGCATCCCCCGAGGCCTCCAGAGTCATCGTTTGGATTGATAGGGTCGGCAGGCCCCGAGGTTTGTGTTTAAGGAGAGGAAGCTGGCCCGCAACCCAGGCATGTGCCCTGACTAAGAATCTAAAACCGGTGACCCCTTGGTTCTCAGCGCATGCTCAATACACTGAACTACACCAGCCAGGGCAGCTTGGATGCCCCCTGGATCCAAGAGCCCTGGAACCTTTGCTCTTCTGCCAGTCTCTGGCATTTTCCATCTTCCACCACCTGGGGGCGCCAAGAACACTAGGGCTGAGCTGAGGTTTGGTTGTGTAGTGGGTAGGCCTGGGTCTGTGCTAAATTTTTGGATTCTGCAGCCTCTGCTCATGATACTCTGGGCTCTGGGGAAAGCAGGCTGGTTCTTGGAGCTCTGTGTATGTTCTTCTTTTCCAAGATTTTATTTATTTATTTTTAGAAAGGGGAAGGGAGGGAGAAAGAGAGGGAGAGAAACATCGACGTGGGAGAGAAACAATTGATTGCCTCTTGCACGCCCCCAACTGGGGATCTGGCTCACAATCTAGGCAGGTGTCCTGACCTGGAATCGAACCAGTGACCTTTTGGTTTGCAGGCCAGCCCTCAGTCCACTGAACCACACCTGCCAGGGCTGGGTATATTCTTCTGTGTCCTCTCTGCCCATCTCTATGCGAAATCTGAAATACCCCCTCTATTTACCTCCTGCTTTTTCTGCCTAAAGAATTTCTGCCTGTCCTTGAAGCCCCCAGGCGCCTCCTCCTGGGAGTTTTCCCAGACTTCCTTAGTGGTCAAGCCTGTCTGTTGCCACAGCCTGAAGATTCTGTGTAACACTTCCCATGTTCCAGGCGGAGAATGCAGAGCGCCTGCCCACGCCCCTGAACTGGGGGCTTCTCCAGCACGGGGACTGTGTTACCGCCTCTTCATCACACTGGCCGACTAGAGCAGCCTGCCACATAGTGACCGCTCCCTGTCCATTTGTCTGATAAAGCAGCCGTTGTGTATTGGGGCCCCTTTTATGCCGCTCACGTTATATTCAGAAATTCTCACCCTAACCTATTACCTAGGTTATTGTAAGTTCCACTTCACAGATGAGAAAACTGAGACTCCCAAGCTTAAGTACTGTTTTTTGGACTATAAGACGCACCCCGCCTCCGCCAATTTGGGAGAAATAATGGTTGTTAATGCTGGTGTTGAGTTCTGTTTACATTTACATTGGTGAAATATTATGTTATTTATGTTATTAAATATTTTACCACGTTTTTTGCTTCAATTTTTTTTTCCAATTTTCCTCTAAAACCTGGATGTGTCTTATGGTCTGAAAAATACAGGTAATTTGTCAGTGTCACCCAGCTAAGTAACTGACCAGAACAAGGGTTAGAACCAGGTCCGCCCAGTCTGGAGTTCAGGTTCTTTCCGCAGACAAGACCATGTTGAATGAATGAAGCAATAAATGGGTGCTGGTGTTAGGAAGGTCAGAGGTGAAGATGGTTTGGGTGGGCTTGGTCCCTAAAGGAGGGCGTGATGAGGGACAGGGTCCCCAGCCTGGCCGAGGTTCTCCAGCCCCATGGACATCCCAGCCTTTCTCGTCAGAGCCGGGCACGTGGAGCACATGAGAACTGACCGCAGGCTGCAGAGGCTCCTTCAGACCCAGAGGGAGCTGATGTCCAAGGAGCTCTGGCTGTACAGTAAGCGGGGGACCCAGGCAGGCAGCAGCCACAGGATCAGGACAGTCCCCTCCCCTCCCCCCAGTTCCTCTCTGCACAGATACATTTGCTCTGAGGAAGGAATTAACCTGGGGGCGGCATGGGGGGCATTGCCTTTGCCACGTGTGTCCTCAGAAGCATGTGGGTCCAGGGAATGGATGGCCCTGCTTGGCTTCCCGCTTCCCTGGGGGTGCAGAAATGTTCCCGGGTCTCACACGTATGTCTTCTACAGTGGGCGTCAACACCTTTGACTATCTGGGCAGCATCCTGAGTTACGTGGTGATCGCAATCCCCATTTTCAGTGGTGTTTATGGAGACCTGAGCCCCACAGAGCTCAGCACCCTGGTCAGCAAGGTGAGACCCCTTCCTGGTGACCCCTGGAGCCATACCCCACCCCTCGGCCCAGAGCCCAGGGCTCGGGAGCCCGGGCCTGTGCTCACTGCCCCCCACTCCATCCAGAACGCCTTCGTGTGCATTTACCTCATCAGCTGCTTCACCCGCCTCATCGACCTCTCCACTACGCTGTCAGATGTGGCTGGTTACACACACAGGTGAGGCTGCGTCCACCCCCCTAGTTCTCGCACAAACAAAGTGTGTGCACTGGGAGACATGGCCGAATGAGAAAAGGAACAGGAAAACTCCCCCTGTCCCAGCGGGCATAAGAGAAGAAGGATTCTTACCTTTGTCTGAGCCCCCAGACCCCTGCCTCAGGTTCTCACTTCTTTCCCAGGATCGGGGAGCTTCAGGAGACCCTGCTGGACATGTCCCTGGAGTCACAAGATGGTGAGATCCTGGACGAGCGTGAGTGGGACTCACCCAGGTGAGCAGTGGGCTGCCAGTGTTGGCACTGGCTGAGAACACAGGCTCTGGAACTGCCCGGGTGCAGTTCGGCCAAGAGCCCTGCGCCTTCCCGGCTGGGCAACAGAGTTGTGTGGAGCGAATGGAAGACACTATGCCCTGTGCCAGGTGTGTTGCAAACACTCGTTATGGGTGTGGCTGCTCTGGCATTCGTTGTGTTAGTTCCCACCCCCCACCCCCCTGGCTGGTGGGAGCAAAGTGCCCACGCCAGCCTCAGCCTGAGATAAAACAAGAATCTAACGAGTAGCCCTCCTCTTCCTTTCCTTCCTCCTCCTCCCTCTGAGCCCGGCCCCATGCCTGCCCCATGGCTCGTCTGGCCTCTGTCCCCACGCTTCACTCAGGCCCGGAGACATCTTTTCCCATGAATCTCTGCAGGCTGTGTTCCTGACCTTTCTGGGCATTAAAGATCTGTTCCACGTCCTCACTGTCTTCATCTCTAACAGAGGACATTAGTGTTCAGCCTTCCCCGTGGGGTTGTGGGTGCCGGATGCCCTGCCTTAGAGAAAGTGCTTAGGAAGCGGCTACAGGGTAAGCTTCTGAAAACGGGGATTTTCTGAATTCCAGGACTCAACTTTCTTCTTAGACACTAAAGCCTCACCGGCTGCCCTGTTTAAAATTCGAGCTTCGTGCAGCTGTGAGCCCAGAGGCTGGTGTGCTTGAGCTGGGGCTCTGGGCAGCCAGGGCTGCCGTTCTCGGGGAGGTGGGCATCTGTGGAGAGCCAGAAACTCCAAAACCCTTTTGTATCACCGCCCCGTTCTCATCCTCTTGACACGCTCTGACGCCCTGGAAACTATTGGACGAGACAAATTCAGCTCTGTGACCTGAGCAAGTTGCTTAGTGGCCTGACTCGGTCTCCTCGTTTGCCAAGTGGCGCTGATAACTGCCATCATGAATGTTAAGACTGACTGACATCAGCCATGTGTGGGTCTCTGCCCAGCCCGGCGCAGAGTAGGTGCCCCAGCTCCACCTCGGTGTTAGTTTGCTCAGGCCGCCTTAACCAAAAAATGATTGGGCGGCTTAAACAACAGACATTAATTTCTCACAGTCCTGCAGGCTGGAGGTCAAGGTGTCTCGGGGTGGTTTGCCCTGGGGCCTGCCTCCTTGGCTCGCAGTGGCTGTCCTCTGGCTGAGTCCATGCAGCCTGTTCTCTGCAGGTACACCGGCATCTCTCTCTCCTCCCGAGGGAGCACTGGGTGCACTGGACGAGGGCCTCGCTTTAATGCAGTTGCCCCTGGGTCTTTAAGACCCGTCCCAGATGTGCTACATTCTGAGGTGCCAGGGGCTGGAACTGCATATGAATTTGAGGCCGCAGTTCAGCCCAGAACTGCCCCGGTTCAGAGGTGATGTCCCCAGAAGAGCTTCCCTCTGGCAGTACTGACCCTGTATCTGCCCCGTGCCCTGCTCCCTTCTCTAACCCCAGGGCCCCAGGACGGCCAGCGACAGAGCCAGGAGACATGGCTTTTCTTCTCGATCGGGTCTGCGTCTCTGCACCCTCCTCCGACAAACTCCTAATCAAGGACCTGAGCCTGAAGATCTCCGAGGGACAGAGCCTGCTCATCACAGGGAACACGGGCACCGGCAAGACCTCGCTGCTCCGGGTCCTGGGCGGCCTCTGGGCGAGCGCACGGGGTGAGGACCAGCCGCCCTGTCTCTGAGCCTTGGCTGGGCGGGGTGTGTGCGTGTGTGTGTGTGTGTGTGTGTGTGTGCACGCAACCCAGCCTTTTTTGTTGGGGGAAAAGGGTAAGAAGCCGTTACCTCCTCTGGGAGGTCCCAAAATAGAGGTCTCACGGGCTCCACAGGCTCCGTGCAGATGCTGATGGACTTCGGACCCCACGGGGTGCTGTTCCTGCCCCAAAAGCCCTTCTTCACCGACGGGACCCTTCGGGAGCAGGTCAGCTCAGAACCCACCCCGCCCCCCAAATGGGACCTCTGGCAGTGTGACAGATTTGGCCCTAGGGAGCTAGGGGACAGAAGGAGGGTAATAAAACAGCCCGGCCCAGGAACTCCCTGGCTGTAAGATTGCCAGGGTTGGCAAAGGTAGGTTACAGTTGTAGTGCAAATAAATAGAGCAATAGTTAATAAGTACTAACACAAGAGTAAGTTGGGTTTGGCGTGCTCACAACTGTAAACCTTCTTTCGCCCGCCCTGTATTTTACCCATATCCTTGGGTTGGGGCCAGGCACTCAGAGCAACTCTGGCGCCATTTACCCTGTGGGGGCTGCAAGTGAAAGGTCACAGGGTTTGTTGAACACCAAGGTCAGGTTCCAGGGACCCTGCCCGCAGGAAGTTCAGACTCCCCCTCCAGACACACGCCTGGAGGCCTCAGTGACCCCGCCCCACTGTCTGCCGGCCCAGCCTCCTACCAGAGCCCTGGCCAGGGGGCTCCGCACTCTCCACATGGGGGTGGGAGCCTGTCCTCTGGCAATTCAGGGCTGTTCCTCGGGGACGGTGGGTGGTGTGCGTCCCTGCCTCTGGGGGCCCCAGTCCTGAGTCAGTGGCATTTTGTTTCACCAGGTGATATATCCCCTGAAGGAGATCTACCCCGACTCAGGTGAGCAGGGTCTCCTCACGGCCTGTCTTCCCACCTCGGTGGTCCCTCTCCTTCCTGACCTCGGCCTCACCCGTGCCTTTGGGAGGAGCCTCCAGCCAGGAGGCGGGGTTCACGTTGGGGCTCCTCCTCCTCTGCCGGTTTACTCCTTGGGGTCTGTGCCCTGACCAAGTCTCATTTTGTCTCCCTCTCTGTGAGGACCCGCCACCGCCACTGGAGGAGGGAAGCGGTTCCTCTCTCCACCTGGCCCTTTCCTCTGCGGGTCTGTGCCCGTCACTTCGGAGCCCCAGCCCAGGGTCAGAGGCCCTGCCGTCTGTCTGGTTACCTCGAAGGAGCTGGCGTCTTGAAGAAGGGCTCTCTGTTTTGCAGGTTCTACCGATGATGAGAGGATTGTGAGGTTCTTGGAGCTGGCGGGCCTGGTGAGTGGGGCAGGCCCAGGGCCCAGCCCGCCCAGGAGCGCTGACCACTGCGCCTGAGCCTTGGGCTGGGGCGAGGGGAATGGGAGTGCGGAGTGGCCGAGGGACCGGTGGCTGGGTGTGGGCACAGAGGGGACACAGTCTGTGGACTTTAACACGGTAGTAAAACCATTACTACAGAGACAACGTGGGTCTTCTTGTCACCACGCTCCAACAAGCGTAAACAATGTAGTTGACAGGCTGTTCCTCTCCGCCCCAGTGTACTGCCCCCACCGCCCCCACCGCCCCCACCTGGGTGCACCTCTGGGGTTGTAGATCCGTCCCAGGCCTGTGTGCGGTGGGTGGGGACTGAGGTTGGGGATGGACACCTTGATGGACATTGTTTTCTCTGGCTGTGTTACAGTCCGACCTGGTGGCAAGAACAGAGGGCTTGGACCACCAGGTGGACTGGAACTGGTAAGGAGGGGGTTGCGGTGCTCCAGAGCCATTTCCCTGAAGAGTGGGTTCCAGAGGTCCAGTGAGGGGGTAGAGTGGCTCCTGACCCTGAGTCCAGGTTACACGCCCCGGGCAGCAGGGTTTTGGCCTCCCCTTGTGTGGGCAGCAGGGCTGTGGTTGACAAGGGAAGTGACGTTCGTCTGTCCTGGGCCAGCCTCTCTGCAGCAAGAACCTTTTCATGCCCAGACCCTCTCTAGGCAGAAGCCAAACGAAACATCCCCTCTGCCCTGCAGTGGTCCTCTCTGGTTCCCCTCCCCAGGTATGACGTGCTGTCCCCGGGGGAGATGCAGAGGCTGTCTTTCGCTCGGCTCTTCTACCTGCAGCCGAAGTATGCAGGTGAGGTCTGCCCCGTCAGTGTGCTTGCCAGGTGCCGTGAGTGCCCGCAGGTGCGGCAGCGTGTGCTCGTGCGCACCTGGGGCGGTGTCGGTAGTGTAGGAGAGCCCACCTGTGCCTGGCCGGGCCTCTCCGTCCCTGCAGGAGAGGACGGCAGGGCTCTGCCCACGAGGCGGCAGTGCGTGGCATCCTCAGGCTCTGGGTGTGGCGCTACAAGCTTTCTGCCACCTCAGCCATTGGTGCTGCCTTGGGAAGGCTGGTGATATTATGCTCTGTGACCCATGAACGGACATCCCCCCAGCTGTGCCTAGCAGAGGGGTGGCAGGTGTGGACTCTTCCAAGGACTGACATCCTCGGGGGAACCAGCACTCCCTGGATCGAGTGCTGCTAGGCAGTGTCTGGTGCTGACCTAGGAAGCTGAGGGGTCCTGTCCTGCTGCTGGCCAAACGCTTCCAAGATGGGGCTTGGCCTCTGCTCCTTTGGCCCATCGTCTCCCTCAGGCAGGGTTCCCATAGGCCAGGGACCTTGCAGGCCCCCCCCCTGCCCCCCAGCTTGTGTGGCTGAAGCAGACGCGGACAGGGCAGCTCTCCATCTCCTCCCGCCGGTTCCGCCCTCAGTGCTTGACGAAGCCACCAGCGCCCTGACCGAGGAGGTGGAGAGCGAGCTGTACCGCATTGGCCAGCAGCTAGGCATGACGTTTGTCAGCGTGGGACACCGGCGCAGCCTGGAGAAGGTACCCGTGCTCACAGGCCAGCCAAGGGGGAGGAAGACCCCAACAGCTGGGGTCTTCCAGAGGCCCCTCAAAATGGGGAGTGGGGGTGACAGAGAGGGCGGGGTTGATGGCTGGGTGTTGTGGCCAGGGCAGCCCGAGCTCTGCGTGGTGGTGATCTCTCCTAGTTTCACTCCTTGGTTTTGAAGCTCTGTGGAGAAGGAAGGTGGGAACTGACTAGAATCAGAGAGGAATGAAGCCAAGATGTGGTTGAGCACCAGAAGGAGGCCCAAGCTCGCGGCAGGTTGGCCCAGGGAGACACCCACGGCCTTGGTTCACCTCACAGGTTCTCTGCAGGGAGCGCTGGCACTGTGGGCCCGGCTGGGCATGGCCTGCAGGGGGCGCTCAGTCCCTCCAGACCTGCTGCTGCCTTAGCCGGCGCTCTCTGCAGTTGTGCCAATTCTTCACTCCCACGTGGCTTCCGGCTGTTTTCTAAGGAACCTGCCGGTGTGGGGCCTACAGTGAATGAAGGGCCAGCGTGAGAGAACGTCAGACTTGGGTCCAGAGACCCAGAAATCCTTTTATTCGGTTAAATTGCACAACAATGGATTTTTAACTTGAATCAGCTTTTTAGATTTTATAACTTTTTTAATAAAAGAGAAACATTTAAAAAGTTTGCTGCTTTTCCCCCTTCTCTTTATTCTCCATTCTAAGACGATCTTTCGAACTGAATTTCCAGACCCGTGTTTGAGAGCCAGGAGGGAAGGGAGCAGAAGTCTTAGGGAGAGGTGGGACCTTGTGTCCTCAGCTTGCTTTCCAGTGGTTTAGCAAAGCAGACCGTTTATCTTCATAAATAGACTAAGGCAAGGTAGTAGCTGTTGATTTTAAAGTTAAAAGATGACAATTACCATATTTTTCAGACTACACAACACACCCCCTTTCCCTCCCAAATTTAGGGGGTTATAGTCCGAAAAATTTACGGTAACAATTCAGAAGTAAGAGGTTTTTACAAAGGAACCACTGGCAGGACAAGCCCCCCCACTGCCACCTGCCCTCGGGAGAACTTGCTCTGTTCCAGCCACAACTGCATCCAGCCGAACAAAGGCCGGAAGAAAATTTCACGTTTTCATGGTTTCCCTGCCCAACCAAACCATTACGTATCGGCACGGCCTCCTTGGCATTTCTGAATGGAGAGGACAGATGGAGAGGAAGGTGTCCATGATAGGAGGGGGTTGATGGGCACCAGATGAAACAGATCCCATTGGAAAGCCTGACATCAGAACCGGGGGAGTGTCCCCACGGGGAACAGGCGGGGGGGATGGTTGATGGGAGGGCCGGAGAGGTGATCATGTTGTTTGGATTTTACAGCCCCTTACAGGGCACAAAGTGCCTTGGACCAGGCTGGCGAAAAACATTCTCGTTAAATCTCCTAGAGATGAATAAAGTGTAATAACAACACATTTCACGCGTAACTGAAGAAGCCAGAGCAGTGGTGCTGCACGGGGCCAGCAGGTGACTACAGACCAGGCAGCTGCATTTTAAATGCTCACACAGGGACGGAAGACCAGGCCCAAGGTGAGGGCTGGAAAAAATACGTAGGCGAGCCAAGTTCCTCACAGTAAAAAAAAACTGTTGAAACTTAACACAAACATGCAATGTGGCATGAGTCAGCAAGTGCAGCCAGCACAGTAGAATTGAACCAGGAGAAACTGGAAATCGCTGTGGGAGGCCACCGCATCACTCCCTGACCCTGACCCCTCCCTGTCACACACAGACTCCCTGAAGTCCACCCCGGGAGCAGAGCCACAATCAGATGGGGCTCTCGGCTGATAGGTGAGGAGTCAGGGGGCAGGGGGTGTGGGAAGCTGACAGCCACGGCGAAGAGTTCGCACTGGGAGGGATCGGTCTGAATGAGAGTGAGCAGTTACTGGAGCAGGGGCTGCTGGGCCTGCCGGGCTGTGGCCGGGCTGTGACCGGGCAGGGACTTCACCGCTGTCTGAGTTGAGGAACAGCCAGGCAGGAGGAGAGGATGAGAGACCTAGAGAAGAAAAGATCTGACCCGGTGGCTCAGTTAGTTGAGAGTCTTCCCACAAAGCAAAAGGTCACCAGTTCGATTCCCAGTCAGGGCACAGGCCTGGGTTGCGGGTTTGGTACCTGGCTGGGGAGTGTACACGAGGCACCAATTGATGTTTCTCTCTCACATTAGTGTCTCTCTACCTCCCTCCTCTTCCCTTTCTAAAAATAAAGAAATAAAGTCTTAAAAAAAAAAAAGAAGAAAGAGGCGTCAAGGAACTACCAGGAGACAGAACGAGTCTCAGCTCCCCAGAGGTGGGTCTCGGTGCTGGGTGGTGCTGAGGAGTTTGAACCGGGAACTCAGCAGACAGAGCCCTGGGGTGAGAGACGAGAAGGAGCTGACCCCCCAAATTCCTTTGTTCTTTCCCTCTAGAAAAGAACTAGTTCTTTATTTTATTTGTAAAGATTTTATTTATTTATTTTTAGAGAAGGGGAGGGAAGGAGAATGAGAGGGAGGGAAACATCGACATGAGAGCAAAACATCTAATCGGTTGCTCCTCCCAGCCTTTCCCACGCACATTTCTCCCCACGCACATTTCTCCCCCCACCCCACCCCCCACCGCCCGGGACCGAACTGGCAACCCAGGCAAGTGCCCTGACCAGGGATCGACCTGGCGACCTTTCGCTTTGCAGGACAGTGCCCAGCCAACTGAGCCACCGGGTCAGAGCTAAAGTAGTTTATTTTTTAAATAAACTTTATTTTATAGCAATTTCTGTTTCATAGAAGGATGGTAAAGACCGCACAGAGCGTTCCAGGAAACCCCTCCGTCCATTTCCCCTGTGACTAACTTCTACCAAATAGCTGGAAACTTTGCTACAACCGATGAACCCGGTGGGCCGCGCCTCCACTCCCTGGGGGAGTCTGAGGGGAAAGGGCACTGCAGCTCTGCTGGGTGCAGGAGGAAGACTCCAGGTCCCCAGGGAGCCCGGGGTGCGGGAGACAGGAGGCCACATGGACCAGTCCCTGAGCACCCCCTTCACCCCCCGCTGGTCATGGCCCCACTTCCTTGCAGGCCACAGCACGGGGCCTCAGGGTCTCCCCCACCCTTCCTTGTCGTTGCCTCCTCTTCGCCTGACTCCTGCTCATCTGTCCTTGCCAGGCCTGCTGAGCAGCTCCGCACAGCCCTCATAAATCAGGGCTCCTTGCCCTTTTACACTCTTGCTCTTGGTGCACTCAGCCTGTTGGGCCCGCGGAGCCGGGACTAACATTTCCCTTCCAGGCACTGGGACCCCGAGAAGCCCCCCGGGAGCACAGGCAGCACGTTGCAAGGGCTCTGCTTGTGCTGCCCTGTCTGGCCCTGCTGTCCAGGCCCCTCCTCTCCCGTCCAGCGTCCTCCCTTTGCAGTACCCTCGCCTCTCCCCTCCGTGATGTCCCTCTGCAGAGAGCTGCATGCCTCCTCCCAGGCTTAATTCCCTGAGGTGATTGCCCGGGAGGATTGCTGGCAGCCCCCAAGCCTCCGAGTGTCCCAACTGTCCCCCAGATCTGAGGGTGGGCAGCTGCCAAGGACATTCCCCGGGCCCGAGGCTGCCTTGGTGTGGCCATCCTTCCCTTGTGCTCACGTGGGACCTTGCAACTGGGCGAGAGCGGTTGAGCAGATGTTATCGTGATTTAGAGCTTGGGAGAGACAGGCCTCAAAGGTTAAACACCTTGATCCAAGTTTATGTGGGGTTTTTTGTGTTTCGTTTTGGTTTTTTTTTTAAGAGAGGAATGGAGAGAGAGAGAGAAACATCAACGTGTTGCTTCACCCATTATTACATTCATTGACTGGTTCTTTTTTTTTAGTTCAATTTTTTTATTGTTTATGCTATCACAGTGTCCTAATGTTACCCCCAGCTCCCCCCACGTCCCCCGCTCCCCCCCCCGCTCCCCCCACTCCTCCCACTCCCTCCACATTGGCTGATTCCTGCATGTCCTCTGACCAGGAGACTGAACCCGCGACCTTGGCTCAGCAGGACAACCCTGACCAGCCGAGGTGCCTGGGCAGGGCCCCTGGTTTTGTTTTCACAGTCCCTTAGCTCACACTTCCAACACCTGAGAACAGTTACAGTTTTGTATTTTATTTGTGTGATTACTTGACTTCTATCTGCCTTTACTTTGCCCACCACCTGATCCTAGGGCCTTGTCCACTGGCTGGTACACCGATACTCCGTGTTTTTAAATTAGTGGACAAATGGATGAGTTAGGGGAAGATGATTCATTCATTCATTCACCAATGGATTCAGTGCCAGGCCCTCTGGTGGGCCCTGGGGATAGAGATGAGGAAGATATAATCCCCGCCCTTGAAGAAATCAGCCTTGAGGGGTAGACAGACTTGTAAGTCCCAGCACAATGCAGAAAATGCTTTAACAGAGGACTGTCCCGTGGGCCCTGGGACAACAGGGTCTGAGCCCTCCCTGGCGGACAGGCCTTGAAGGGTGGCTGCTGGGGCTGAGCGGGTGAGGCCAGGGCATTCCTAGCCCAGGGGTGCCAGTGAGTTCCACCTCTGAGTCAGTTTGAAATGATCTTAGGAGCTTTCTTGAGCCAACTCTCAAACGTACCCTCTCCATTCTGCTCCCTGCTGTCCAGTGGGTAATTCCATCCAGCGCACGGCCCAGCAGGCGGCCCCCCAAGTCTGCAGCAACCCTGGCGGTCTTCCTTGGCTGTTTATCCTACGTTCTCGCTTCTCTGTGACAGGGACCTAGCAGAGGCTCCCCTGACGCTCGGCTCCAGAGAGCGTGGCCTGTCCCATTTGCTGTTGTGGAATTAATGTCGGGACGTGAGTTCTTCAAGTGCACACATGTACACAAAAGGAAGGGGGTCGGAACTCTTGGGGGCCAAGGCAGGCTGTGGGTTCACCTAAGGTGTGAGGGCCGTTTGCAGGTAAGTACCAGAGGGGAAGGTCGGTGTAATCCCCCGTGTGGGGAGCAGGAGGGAAGTCAAGGGCTGGGACATTAGATGTGCCTGCAGTGGAGGAGGGTCCCCTATCACAGTGATAAATGCCACTCAAAGATGACAAATGCCACCCAGTGGAGAAAGGCAGGCCACAGCGCCTCTACAGTTGGAGCAATTTTAAAAGAGTCTAGCAATTCTGACCTAAAAATGACTTCATGGATTTGCTTTCTCTGCTGCCCACACACACACACAAACCCTCCTCACCCAGGGAGGACACCTGGACCCTTCCCCTGCTGTTTTTACACCAATTTTATTCTTACTTGGATCTTTACAGAAAATGGCACAGAAATCACAGGTTTAGAATACCTAGAAGTCATTACAGTTCCGTATTTCAAACACCTCGATATCCAGATTCTTTCTTCTCACTCTATGTACATTATTTACACGCCAGGGGCTACAGTCTAACACACCAAACCAACCGGGGACAAAGACGAGAAGAACAGGGGAGAGCTCCGTGAACTTGATGGGGAAGAAATCAACTTCTCATGGGGAATTAAAGCCCCAATTCACCGTCTCAAGCCTCTCTCTCTTGAGGTGTCCCCTGCAGAAGTGGGTGGGAGGGTGAAGAAATGCCATGGGGCTGAGGGGCCATGTGCCTGGTGGGGGTGGAGTACGGCTGCGGTCCGTACGCACGGGCCCTCTCATCAGCGGACAGAAGAAGCCGCCCGCCCCTGCTCCAGCACAGTCACCGTCTGCCTTACTCCGCTGGAGGTGCACCTGGCGTGAAGGTGCGTGCCCATTGCTTCCTTTGGGTCTAGTACCAGCTCCTGCTTTGCTCTCCTTCAAGACTTTTCTTATACCTTTCTTGTGACCAACCCTTGATGACTGTGTATAGCCCCAGGCTCACTCCAGGCTGGGCTCCCTAAGGACAGCCTGGATGAACTTGAGTCAAGGTCTGTGGCTTCCCAGGGTTTCATTAAACAGCTAGATTGGGTTGCTCCAAGGCAGGGCACATGCAGACCGGGAATCTGCGAGAAGCTCTAAGGGAAGGGTGCCTTGCACAGCGGGCCAGGGTCCCAGGCAGCATCTCAGGGGGGTTGGGATGCCTTAGATCACAACCACGAGGGCCCGGGGAGAACCTTTGGCTGCCCCAACAGTGCAGAGAGCCTCGGTGTTTGTGAGCAGTGCCCCTGGCAGCAGGGCACGGGCCCTGGACTCATGACAGGAGTTGTACAACCAGCACATGCAGTGCTGGCAGCTGTGCGGGGAGGAACACTGGGGCAGGCTGCGTGTGGAGAGGGCAGGCTCCTGGGTGTGACTGTGGAGGGCATGAGATGGAGGGTGGCCGAGGGGCCCAGGCTGAGCCTTCCCAAGTTTACCCTGGACTCCGGGCCCCTTTGATGGGGTAGAGCAAAGGGCCTGCAGGGCAGTACATTCGCACAGTAGAGACGCACACCCAGGCCCACAGGAAGGAAGAGGCTGAGGGAGCAGAGTTTGGAAGAGGACTGGGGTGCTCAGGACATTGGCCCTGGAGTGCAGGTCCTCAATCCCTAACAGGGCGGTGGCAGGCAATGGGCTTTGAGCCTGGGGGTGGGGAGAAGGAGGAGCAGAACCGCAGTCAGTTAGAGCTGGGAAGAGGGCTCCCGGCTGGAGAACACAGTGGGGTATGGTCTGGACAGTGCAAGTCACCAGGGGATTGAGTGAAAGCGGCTTGAGGGGGCGGTTCGGGCAGCAAAAAGGCTTCTGAGGCAGGGCTGCTGGGAAGAGGAGGATGTGAAGAGGTCAAGGCTAGGAGGGGGGTGTCTCAGCGCGGCCCAAAGCCTTGGCCAGAGCTGAGCTGTGTCTGAAGTCACCTGGGGTCATGGAGGGCCTGTGGGGCGGGGCGGGGGCCAAGGCCAGGCTGGGCCCTCCCTCGGAGAGCACCACCCGGCACCGCAGGCCCCGAGAAGAGCAGAGTCCTTGGGGCTGCAGTGGCAGCGCGCCTTTGACCTAAGCCACGTCCTCGAGCTGCGGCGGACTCAGCTTCTCTGCCGGCCTGTCTTCGTCCACGGCCTCCTCCTCTGGCTCCTCTCCGCCCCGGGACCGGCTGCTGGGCCCCGACACAGTCCCCAGCACTTTGGTGCTGTGCTCCTGCGCCCTGGCGCGCAGCGCCGCGATGCTGTTCTCCCTCAGTTCCTCCTGGGACATGCCTGCCGCTGGGGCGTCGGGGCCCCGCTCCTCCAGCTCCGTCTTATCCAGCTTGGGCAGGGCCTGGCGCTCCACCTCGGGCTTCCTCCCCGACTCGGCTGCTGCCTCCAGCGACTTTTTGTGCATTCCTAGAAAGAATTGTTGGTATTCGGGTTTAGAAAAGCGCCTGGGAAAGCCATCTTGAACTGAAAACGGCAAAGATAGAGAGAGGCCAGAATTAAGGACGAGCAGAAAGCCTTACTTCACACACCGCAGTCACGCAAGTCCCAGGGCGCGGCGGGGCAGCGGGAGGGCTGCAGAGGGCTCCTCCCAGCGAGGCCCCGGATGCCTGGTCCCCTGGCAGCCGGTTCTCTCCCTTCTTTAGCCCCGCACTTGCCCCCCCCCATCCCTCCCTCCTGGGATTCCAGATCTTAGAACCCCAGACAGGCTGGTGCTGCTCCCAGATGGCAGGTGGAGGAAGACAGCAGGTGGAGAGATTTAGTGGGAAGAAGTCCTCCGGGCAAAGCCAGAATGGTGGCCAAAGGGACCTAGGGGCCCCCCAAGTCCAAGAGGGACAATTTCACTCATCAGAAGCCCACCTCCCACAAGGGAAGAAAGGGCGCAGACCCTGGGGCCACAGTCACACTCTCCTCAGAGGACAGAAGAACCCACAGTCGGGACCTGTCCAGGACGAAGGTCCTAGGCACTCATAGATGGTGGGTACAAGGGGTGGACACCACGCCCCAGGCCCAGCCTGGCCTTGGAGCCGCCCAAGGGAGAGGAGAGGCCTGCTCTGGAACGCCTCCCATCGGCTGCTGTGGCCAGGTCTCTGCTCCAGGGCTCTGTCCCCTCCCCCATGGAGCCCACTCTCCTTGCTGCGGGGGCAGGGCCCCAAGGAGGGTGTGGGCTCTTACCCAGCAGCCACGGGGCACAGGAGTCCATGATGCCATCCTTGGCAGACTTGAGGATGGACTCGGGCAGGGGGATGGAGTGCCGCACCATGGCCCCGTACAGGCCGTACTCCGCCATGACACTGCTCCGGCCCCAGCACTTCTCTCGCTTCCTCCACTTGGCTCTGCGGTTCTGGAACCAGACCTGCAGGTGCAGATGGCCAGGTCAGGGGTGTGCCCCGGGGGGCACTGGGCCTGGGCTCTGCCCCAGGTCTGTGGAGCTCGTGACTCCTGGTTTCTCCAGGTGGCTGTCCTTACTCAAGCTCACCTGTCCCACGGTACCCAGGGGCTTCCTCCAGGCTCAGCGGAGCCCACCAGAATGAGGACACGTGAGAACACGTTGGGTGGAGTGGGTCTCCCTCTCCATCTCTCTCTCTCTCTCTCTTTTTTTTGGATGGGATGGGGATGCCTCTAGGACAGATTCTTGCAGGTGAACATTTCCCAGTGTGGTCCTCAGTCTGCAGCTGAGAGGCCTGACCCTGGTGGCTGTCTTGTGACAGGTAGCTCACACCTTCTGGAAATAAACAGCATCTCTTTTCTGACTGGCCAAGGGACAGATTCCTTTCCAGGGCTCGGAATGGTGGTGTCCAGAGCTCCCGCTCCACCAGGACTCCAGGGCCTACAGCAGTCCCGTGAAGGCTTCCAGGTGAGGGAGGCCTTGGACGGAGCAAAGGGCATTGCATCCTGACATCCTGGAGCCTGGGAACGGCCCCAGTCCCAAAGCAGAGGCGGGGAGGCTCCCAGCCCTGCGCTCTGCCAGGCCACAGTGCCGTCCGTCTGTCTGCTCTCCTCAGTTATGGACCTAACTCCGAATGGCATTTGGGGGACTTGGGGGCCGTCCCCGAGTCAGGGAAGAAAGCCAAAATTCTCAGTGGTGTGAGAGGCAAATGGGAGTGAGGACCTAGGAAAGCGTGGCTGGGGGCACTCTCGGGGAAGGTTTCTCTGGCCCCTAAACCGACTGATGCCAGGTGTGAATGGGGAAGGGTGTTGACCTGGGGGTGCCTGGAGTTCTCCAGCCCTGCCTGGAGGAGCTTCCAGGGCCCCTGCCATGCCTGGGGGAGGGGAGATTTCTGGGCCTCCCAAAGCAGCTTTCCTGAGACTTCCAGCAGCTGACAGGAGCCAGAGCCAGAACCAGGGGCACTGCACTGTCCCTCAAGTGGGTGTGAGGCCCGCAGGAAACTGGTGGGTGCTGCAAGGACCCCAGGCGGGCCGAGCCCCACCTGACCCTTCGCAGCCCCTCTGGCCCTGGAGCCCCGGGAAGTGGGGAGCAGAGGGGAGGGCAGAGGTGCTTTGGAGAAATCTATTAGTTTCCTCTGCGATTTCCATTCCCTCGCCTCGCCCGGTCCTCCCCTTCCCTCCGGCCCCCTCCCCCGCCCTCGGAAGCGGAGGTTTCAGCTTTTGATGAAAAATTGCTCCAGCTCTATTCAGGAGGCGGCAAAAGAAGAGTCGCCCCCAGGGGCAGCCCTGGGCTGATTGAAAAATAAGTTAATTTCAGTTTGAATCGATGGGCCTCAGGCACTGAAATATCACGGGAAATTAAAGCGGCTGCTCTCCCGGGAGCCGTGGCATTGACCCGCACTAATTAATGCTGGGGAGGCAGCGCGAGCCGCGCCGCGCGCCTCTCCCCTCCCCGGGGGACCCCAAACACTTCTCATTTAACTAATTAGACGGGGAAAATTGGGTGTTAATTTGTTTAGGATTTTTCCCCTCTTCCCCGCGGCAGCTCCCTCCCCGGCTCCGCCCCGCGCGGGGGCGCGGGAAATGAATGCGGGGCTCGCCGGCAGATGGCTGCCCCGGTCACTCTGCAATCTTCTCAGACTTGATTGCTTGATTAGGTCGTTAGCACATTAAAAAAAAAAATTGCTTGCCGTCTGGCGCTGGCGTGATGAGTGGGACGCGCAGCAGCGCCTGGGTAATTTATCTTTTTATACGGCAAAGAATTTGATTTCAATCTGCAGATATATGGGGCGCCTTTGACACCTGTTTAACATCGCGCCGCTGACAGCTTAACCCTTTGCTGCCTCGGCCCGCGGGGCTGTGAGTCGGCGCGCCCGGCCCTTCCCGCCTCTGCCGCCAGGTGGCGGAGTGAGCGCCCCGACGCTCACGGCAGCCCCGAGTCTGCAGCTGAGCGCGGCGGGCCGCATCCGGCAGGGGGCGCCCCAGCCGCCTCTCCTCACACCCCCACCGCCCCAAACAGACCAGCAGTCACAGACTCGCTGTGCGGGATTGCGGAAAGACCGCGCCGTCCACGCACAACTTTAAGTTGACCCACGTGTGTAACCATGTTTTGGCATTTCTCCATTAGTAAATAACCTTGCCCTCAGATGCCCCCAGCCTTTCATCAGGACATTGGCCAGAACCATTAGAAAACGATCGCTGGCCCCCTCTAGGGTGGGACATATTTTTGATACCA